GTTCCCTATCTTCTCCCAATATCCCATGCTAGATTCAGGGGGAGCAAGACATCTAAGGGAAAGAAATTCTTTAAATTCATTGCACATCTTTACCTTTGGGGACATGTCTATATCAAATGTGGTACTTAGTACTCACTCTCTACATGTCATCCCAGTCTTGGTACTCCTCTGGTTCTTTCTGTTTGCTCTGGCTAGTAGGTGCATATGTGTTATCTAACCTTATTTTCACAGGTTCATTCCATCCTAAGCCAACTCAAGACCACAAGGTAAGTATATGCATCACAGTCATGTGTATGAGGAGTTCTTGCTGATGTACATACTGTTTGCAAGAAGGACTCATGAGCATGAAGGTACATTTCCCACATTCACATCTTTTGCTCTGATGTATATAGCCAAGATACATGTAACACATTGCCTACTCTATCATGGTTATGCACTCACATGCTTCTATACTCCATATTCACTTGATTGCATACAGGTAGGGGGAGCCTATGCATGTTACATGTCTTTCCAAAGCTTTACCTGTTATTCTCTATACCTTTATCTAAAGCTTTGATGTATGTTGTCATCAATTACCAAAAAGGGGGAGATTGAAAGCAGTGCTCCCTGGGTGATTTTGGTAATTAATGTCAACATATCTCTTGTTGGACTAACACTTTTACCTAGCATGTTTTCAGATAAAGTTCAACAATGAAGTGGCATTGACTAAAGGATGTGAAACCCCTTCAAGATGCTAAGGACAAAGGATTGGATCAAGCTTCAAGAACAAGACTCTACATTTTCTATTTTAGTGATCCAAGATCACATTGAGTCTATAGGAAAAGCCAATACTATCAAGAGGGGATGAGGTGTTGCTTAATGGCTTGCTTGCTCAAAGTGCTTAGTGATATGCTCCAAAGCCCTCAACTACTTTCTCACATCCACATATGACCTAAACCAAAATTCAAACTCGGCCCCACCGATTCTTTCCATCCGGCGGCACCGAGTTTAGATGTCATAGCCACTGCCACAAACACTAGGCAAATCGGTCTCACCGATAGGGATCTCGGTCTCACCGAGATGGGATTGTAATCTCTCTGTGTATGTCCATTACCAAAATCGGTCTCACCGACTTTGTGTAACTGATCCTACTGAGATTGCAATGTAGACTCTATGGTTCCTTTTCGTAACATTTCGGTCTCACCGAAATGAGCTAACCGGTCCCACTGAGTTTATGTGACCAACTCTCTGGTTAGCTTAATACCAAAATCGATCCCACCGAGTTTGTGTAATCGGTCTCACCGAGATTACGTTATGCCCTAACCCTAACCATATCGGTCCTACCGAGTTGCATGTCAGTCCCACCGAAAATCCTAACGGTCACTAGATTTGCTGAATCGGTCCGACCGAGTTTCTCAATTCGGTCCCACTGAGATTGGCAAGTTGTGTGTAACGGTTAGATTTTGTGAAGGCTATATATACCCCTCCACCTCCTCTTCATTCATGGAGAGAGCCATCAGAACGAACCTACACTTCCAACTTACATTTTCTGAGAGAGAACCACCTACTCATGTGTTGAGACCAAGATATTCCATTCCTACCATATGAATCTTGATCTCTAACCTTCCCCAAGTTGCTTTCCACTCAAACCCTCTTTCCACCAAATCCAAATCCTGTGAGAGAGAGTTGAGTGTTGGGGAGACTATCATTTGAAGCACAAGAGCAAGGAGTTCATCATCAACACACCATTTTGTACTTCTTGGAGAGTGGTGTCTCCTAGATTGGCTAGGTGTCACTTGGGAGCCTCCGACAAGATTGTGGAGTTGAACCAAGGAGTTTGTACGGGCAAGGAGATCGCCTACTTCGTGAAGATCTACCCCTAGTGTGGCAAGTCCTTCCTGGGCGACGGCCATGGTGGGATAGACAAGGTTGCTTCTTCGTGGACGCTTCTTGGGTGGAGCCCTTCGTGGACTCGCGCAGCCGTTACCCTTTGTGAGTTGAACTCTCCATCAACGTGGATGTACGATAGCACCACCTATCGGAACCACGACAAAAACATTCGTGTCTCCAATTGCGTTTGCACACTCCAATCCCATCCCTTTACATTCTTGCAAGTTGCATGATTTACTTTCCGCTGCTCATATACTCTTTGCATGCTTGCTTGATATGTATTGTTATTGTTAAACTTGTGCCAAAACTCCACTTGAGCTTAAAGAAATTAAAAACTGCAACTTTTCTTATTTAGTGTCTAATCACCTCCCTCTAGACACCTCTTCTCGATCCTTTCATCCTTGCATAAAGTGTTCCCTTTCCCTTGGGCCAGGACTTTCCACAGGACAGGAGAGAGAGACAGAGAGAGTATACTCTCTTAAATTTGTCTACAAAGCAAACTTCAACTCCCATTCGCCATGGCCATGGTCAGCATTGTTTCCACCATCGCGCTCCTCTCCCACGCTCCCAAAAACGCCAACCCATGTCGTCAAAAACAATGAGTTTTCGAGACGTAGCCATGAAACAGTGTATCATGGTGGCTGCAATGCAAATTTGGAAGTTGATGGCGGGATCCCTCAGAGTAGGCCCTCAGAGTAGGCAATGACAAGGATTCGGCCAGCAAGGCGAACGACCCAAGTCTTCTTCAGGAGAATCAATCGGATGGTCCAACATCAACAAGGCCCATCCGGCTAAACGTTCATGAAGCCTATCCGACTGAACACCACATCATCAATCCGACTGGACCAAAGACGTGGTCAATCAAGGCGAACGTTACCCACGCCACCATCAAAACTCCTACGGTGATGTGGTAATTCTACCGATAAATACCACCATTATGGATGCTATTACACTGTGTATCATAAGGTGAAAAGGGCACAAGACATAGATATGCTCATAAGATTTACCCAAGTCTACAAGCTAAAGAAAATCCCTTGTAATCATTCGACTCACACAAGAGAGAAAACACATCGGAGGTATTGCCCCTAGAAAGGGGGCATGGAACCGGGTTTATGTCTTTTTTTAATTAATTTTAGTAAAACGGTCAAAAAAATCGTTCTGTCATGTAAATTATATCTGAATTTTAATGGTCTTTGCATGGATTTTATCTGTTTAGTTCAAATAGTTGATGAAATGTATGCGGACAACTTTGGATGATCGGCTCCCGCAGCAGTGTCCCCGGATACATGACGGATCATATTTACGGGTCAGCGTTGAACATGCCCTAAATCCATAATGATATATGGAGAAGTATGCGCAAGTTCTAGTGGCATTTCCCGAATACGTGAGAATTACAACGGCGTCTATCTAGTTAACTTTTTTTATTTGTCCTTGTGGCAGAGACAGAAGAATGTGTGCTTGTAATTACCCCAAAACAAAAAAAAGTTCGTGGGCATTCGGAATGAACCGGCCGTAATCTAAAAAAATAAAATACCCGGCCGCTGGCCGCCTCCGCAGCTAGGGTTTACCGTCCCCGCTTCCGCCGTCCCGCGCCTTCTCCCTTTTCCAAAGTCGCCGGAGCACATGGCCGGCGCCGAAGGATCGACGACGGAGGGGGCGGAGAAGGACCTGGAGTTCTCGCGCGCCGGCGAGGGGCCCAACTTCGAGTTCGCATTCAACTCGCAGAACTTCTCCGACAGGTTGCTGCGGATAGAGGTCGTCGCCGGCGAAGACTTCGCCGGACGATCCCTCCCC